CAAAGTGTAAAATTAATAACTGAATATAGAATATAATCGAAATGGAAAATCTCAAATACTAATTTCTTTCCATCTCAGTTTCCATGAAAACATAATCCCGCTATGTGAATATCGAAATACGAGAATACGAGTTATACTGATAGAAAAAAAAAAGATTGAAGATAGGTAGATATATCAAATATTTTAGATAGATAGAGACATAGATAGACATATGAAATAGGGAAAAAATTAGATAAATATGAAAGATTTTCGATAGATATGAAAGATTTTAGATAGGCATATAAAAATAGAAAGATATGATATTTTACGTATATTGGTAGATATGAAAGATTTTACATAGATGTGAAATATTTTATAAATACAAATAGATAGATTAAAAGACAGGAAATTTTAAAATTACTTGTTTAAACATTCAGTTAAGTCAGTTATGTGCCATGCATGATACACACTAAGTCGAACATATATCTTTCGATACATGACTGACGAGGTCGATTTTTTTCCACCTACTAGGTTGCCATTTCTTTTTGTAGGTAGACCTGATGCTATCCAAGGCTATAGAACCCGGTCTGTTCTGCTATTTACACATAGCTGAGGGGACAGCAGAATTCATACCTTTCCAAGCGTAAGTGAATGTAAAGAATTTGACTGGATTTCCACCTCGGCACTCCGATCCCTCAGTCCGAGCTGCTAGCCATTAGACCACATTACATTCTTTAAATGGACACTCATATTTGAGTAAATGCTTCGTTTTACATTTATGTATTAAATATATATATATATATATATATATATATATATATATATATATATATATATATATATATATATATATATATGAAGAAAAATATACTGAAAAACAAACAAAAATCCTAATATGCGATTATGTTGTTTTTAATGTTTAATGTCAACGTCGGACGTTTCGGTCTAATAGACCATCTTCAGGACATATTCATAAAACATAATTAACATAGACCATATTAGACCGAAACGTCCGACATTGACATTAAACAAAACAAAAAACACACACACAAAAAACACACACACACACACGCACACACACACACGCACGCACACACACACACACACACACACACACACACACACACACACATACCTATTTCTTTCTCATCTGAGAAAATATATCTAACGATTGTGGATCTCACAATCAAGCAAATAAAATAGTTTTTCACATTGTCAAATATATTAATCTTTCTCTGGATTCTCTATCCTATTTATACACAATGATAGATAGATAGATAGATAGATAGATAGATAGTACCTTACAGCCCTTAGGATATGTAACCAAGAATACCTGAATGAAGAAGAGAAATCTATTGTAGAAACATTTAGTCTTCTTCACTAACCATACTATTTCATCCTCAATGCTAAAAGCCGATCTTACAAAATCCACAAAGCGAAAGCCTAGAAACCACCAATAATATTTCTAATAATAAAAAAAAAACTTAATCATAGCCTCTAACACTCTTTCTAATGAATTGAAAATAGATTAGTTTTCCCTAATACTAAGATCTTTGCCAAAACGACCAAAACATTCGAATATATAATTGGCAAGAAATCTAAATTTAATACTAGTTCAAATGCCGATATTTTTATAATTCTTTCTTTTTTTCAAGATGAAAAAATTTATACAGAGGTGACATCTAATCTAAAAACACACTGTCTCCAAGCACAAAAGATATTCATGTTCAGACAACCAATCAAACTCGCTCTTAAGACACAGAAACAAAATTGGTTATAACTTTAATCTTACTAATGCCACACCAATTAAAAAGTAACATAATTCTTTAAGGAGAAAATAATTTGACAGCATAACAAAAATATTACCAACTATATACACACATGAAAAACATACTTTTACACCACCAATCTCCTTAAAGAATCTAACGAACAAACATAATTTCTACTAGAAACAATTACGAATATACATTATCATCTGATACCGACAGAGACAAATTAGAATTTTATACACCTACATACATATAGCAATAATTACGGTTTTTAAGGTAAGCTTAGAATCCGTTTTGAAATTTCGATTGGACACGTTTTCTGGGTTTGAAATCTGAATGTCACACATTGTACTAACGTTGGTTTAAAATAGTCGAATGTTCGTGAAACATGATGGACCATTGAATATCAAAAAAGAAAAAAAGAAAAATTATCACAATATCCTTCTTTTTCCATATCTCGTTTTCGGACGAAGCTTTTTATAAAAGTAAAACATATTTGAGTGATAAACGTTTCCTATTTGTTATTTTTCGTATCATTCTGTCGTATTCCTATCCATGTTTGTTCTATACGTAAGATCGTAGATAGTTAGATGAATGTGTATCTATGTGTACAATATCTGTCTATATTTCTGAGATGATGTATTATGTACACTCTTCACATTATTCTGACTATTGTCCTCACCTTTTCGCCATATTTATTATAACGTTTAGGCCTTTCAGTAACTCTCTATATTTCTGAGATCAGCTATTATGTAAACTATTTACATTATTCGGACATTGTCCTCATCTTTGTCGCCATATTTATTACAACGTTTCGGCCGTTGTATGCTCTGGCCTTCTTCAGGTGTTTGGAATGTCGAACTGAACCCTTTATTTCTTCTCACTGGGTTAGACTGTTCTAGTTCCACGTGCCATGTTTAATAGATGTCAGTTGTCAGTTATCTCCTGTTAATTCCCTGCTCCAAGTTACCTAACAAATTCGTTGGTAGGTAGGTAGATAAATGTAGAAATGATATATTGAAAGTGTGTTAGAAAATCTACAGACAAATAATAAATTCTCCATTTACCACTCTTTATATTACAAATTTCTTCTCGCCATACTCTGAACATCGTGAATGGAATTATTTTCTTCCCTTATTCAAGCAATGATTAGCATCCAAAATGATTGCATCAAGCCGCCTGAGATTGCAACCTTCAACGGAAATGCGTTCGACGCTATCGCTTATTGAAATCCAAACTATTAGGTCAGTTTGTCAGTTGGCGCTCAGCTATCTACACGTGTTCATTTATTGCTTGATTTCTATAAATTCCTTAGTTACTCTTAATTAGGACTCGGCGCATTGCGTTCGATATTGCCGAAGAAAATGTTTTCAATATTTGATGCATTTTTCCCAAACGTCCATAATTACAATTATTCCAATAGTCTGTGCAGCTCACTAGTGGCCGAATAATACGCCGGCAAGGGGCACAAACCCATTGAACCGTCGGAGATTTGATACCCGATCATGGACAGTTATCACCCTGAATAAAATGTCTTCCTACGTATGTGGCTTCTAATCTTTATTGTTTCTCCTCTCACATATCGTTACCTTTTCTGCTCTTTATTATCTTTACCTTTTCTCCTCCCTCCTATTATAACCTTATTTCCGACCTCTTATTTTTATCTTTCCCGTACATCTTATTTTTACCATTTTTCATTCCTCGTGTCTTTATCATATATTCTCTTTCTTAACTTAACATTTTCTCCTCCATCTTATCTATACCTTTTACTCATCCCACATATTTAACTTTCTCCTCCCCGTTATCTTTAACTTATCTTCTACCTCCTATGTTTATCTTTTTCTCATCCCACTTATTTTTAACTTTCTTCTTCCGCTTATCATTACCTTTTCTCCAACATCATATTTTTACCTTGCGCCTCAATCTTATCTTTACCATTTCTCCCCGCTCGTGTCTTTAACATATATTATCCGTCTTAATTTTGCCATTTCTATCCCTCTTATCTTTACCTTTACTTCTCCCTCTTATCTTTACATTTTCCCCTCCCTCTTATCTTTACATTTTCTCCTCCCTCTTACCTTTACCTTTACTTCTCCCTCTTATCTTTACATTTTCTCCTCCCTCTTACCTTTACCTTTACTTCTCCCTCTTATCTTTACATTTTTCCCCCCTCTTAACTTTACCTTTACTTCTCCCTCTTATCTTTACCTTTACTTCTCCCTTTTACCTTTACCTTTACTTCTCCCTTTTACCTTTACCTTTACTTCTCCCTCTTATCTTTACATTTTCTCCTCCCTCTTAACTTTACCTTTACTTCTCCCTCTTACCTTTACATTTACTTCTCCCTCTTATCTTTACATTTTCCCCTCCCTCTTATCTTTACCTTTACTATTGCCTCTTACCTTTACCTTTACTTCTCCCTCTTATCTTTACATTTTCCCCTCCCTCTTATCTTTACCTTTCTTCTCCTTTTACCTTTACCTTACTTCTCCCTCTTATCTTTAGATTTTCTCCTCCCTCTTACCTTTACCTTTACTTCTCCCTCTTATCTTTACATTTTTTCCTCCCTCTTAACTTTACCTTTACTTCTCCCTCTTATCTTTACCTTTACTTCTCCCTTTTACCTTTACCTTTACTTCTCCCTTTTACCTTTACCTTTACTTCTCCCTCTTATCTTTACATTTTCTCCTCCCTCTTAACTTTACCTTTACTTCTCCCTCTTACCTTTACATTTCTTCCCTCTTATCTTTACATTTTCCCCTCCCTCTTATCTTTACCTTTACTATTGCCTCTTACCTTTACCTTTACTTCTCCCTCTTATCTTTACATTTTCCCCTCCCTCTTATCTTTACCTTTACTTCTCCCTTTTACCTTTACCTTTACTTCTCCCTCTTATCTTTACATTTTCTCCTCCCTCTTAACTTTACCTTTACTTCTCCCTCTTATCTTTACCTTTACTTCTCCCTTTTACCTTTACCTTTACTTCTCCCTCTTATCTTTATATTTTCTCCTCCCTCTTAACTTTACCTTTACTTCTCCCTCTTACCTTTACCTTTACTTCTCCCTTTTACCTTTACCTTTACTTCTCCCTCTTATCTTTACATTTTCTCCTCCCTCTTAACTTTACCTTTACTTCTCCCTCTTACCTTTACCTTTACTTATCCCTCTTATCTTTACATTTTCCCCTCCCTCTTATCTTTACCTTTACTATTGCCTCTTTCCTTTACCTTTACTTCTCCCTCTTATCTTTACATTTTCCCCTCCCTCTTATCTTTAGCTTTACTTCTCTGTGTTATCTTTATCTTTTATCCTCCCTTATTTTTACATTTTGTACTCCCTCTTATCTTTACATTTTCTCCTCCCTCTTATCTTTATCTTTACTCCTCACTCTTATCTACATTTATTTCTCCCTCTTATCTTTACCTTTTCTTTTCCCTCATATTTTTACCTTTTCCTCTCCATCTTATCGTTACCATTTCTCCTCCTTTGTATCATTACCATATCTTCTCTTTCTTAAGTTTACATTTTCTCTCCCCACTTATTCTCTTCTCTTTTTTTTTATTTTTAATACTCTCCTCCCCGGTATTTTTTATCTTTTCTCCTTTCTCGTATTTTTACACTTTCTCTTCCCTTTTATTTTTACATTTTCCCCTCCTTCTCATCTTTAGCTTTACTCCTACCTCTTATTTTCACACTTTCTCCTCTCTCTTCTCTTTACCTTTTCTTCTCTTTCTTATCTTTACCTTTTTCTACTTCCTCCCTTTACCATTTTTATCTCTTTTTTCTCTTTACGTTTTTTTACGTCGTTTCTTTATCTTTTTGCCTCCTTGTCTTTACCTTTTCCTTTCCTTGTTTAACTTTCATCTTATTTCTAATCTCATTCATGCCTGTTTCTCTCCTACTCTTACATTAATTCTTCCACTATTTATTAACCATGCTTTTCTATCCACCAACCCCCATTCAAAAATATTCTAATTCGAAGTTCTGTTTCTTTTTAAAAGACTCTGTATTATCCGCTTGAAATGTCTCGCAAAAAAATTCCTTTTTCTACCAATTAACAAATGAAAAAAAAAAATAATTGAAGATAAAAAATACTTATAAAAGGGAATATGCCGATTTGCTTTTATTTTATATAACGGGTATCTTTTTGGAAACATTCATTATTGTGCCAAGAATGTTGGAATTCGTTTTTAGCCAAACAATTGCCGAGTTTCGATTCATCGCTAAAACGGAATAAATTATCTGGATTAATAGTCGTACTGGTTTATTATTAACCAGACGGTGTCTTTTGAAAACCATTCTATATGAGTCGTAACACGTCACAGACCACTGATAAAAATTATTGATGCATTTTTTTTTTTTTAGTATGACTTAATTTACCGTTGTTTATTACGAAAGGAAAAACAATTTTTTTCTCTCCCCCAGGAATTATCTACTGTTGCTTATTTTTATATACTTGAAAAATGACTGAGTTCCTGTTAGATCGCCTCGAACCGACGGTTGTAATCCGATCCACTGACAATTCTTTTACGTCAATATCGGTTGTTTGGTCTGATGGTGATAGCAGTAGACATCGACATCGAATAAGGCGACTGATCAACTCTTCCCGCCATGCAATGTTCTGTGGAAATTTGCATGTGTGACATGGCCATTGTAACCACTACGTTCACATAATGGTACACCTCACCTTGGTTTGCTATTTGGAACACTGGTCTGAAACTGTCTCGAACTGTATGCGTGCCAAATATATGGTCAATCTAATCCTTTGTCCTGTCATCTGTGATGGACGACCAAGATATGACCAAGTGCTTGTGGAGACGATTCTCCATTTGACCGATAAGACGATCTGTTGAAGAAATGATACCGTCCTGACAATTCGGATAAGAGTCCATTCGATTTATCTAGTCAACAAAATATTCTCTTGAACAATTTAAGTCAGTTAACCCAATTCTTTCGAGATAATTGTGTAGTTGATATTTTAATAAGCGGACAATGATATTTATTAATTTGAATTATATATTTTGCTTATCTAATGTATTCTTAAAAAATAACGTACTGTTATTTTCAATTATATATTACACTTCATCAGACAACATTTAAATGCATTGTCAAGAATGAGGACTGAGATTCGGAAGATAAGTTAATCCAAGCTGAATGAATCATAGCATTAGTTGTCACATTTGAATACCTACATATTTTTTGTTAATGTCCCTGCTTATCATAGCGATGGCAAATTACGTCACGTGCCCGATAAATGGATCGTTTATGGTAAGGTGTAATACCACAGAAAAAAAAAACAAGCTTTCTTACTGGTGCTATTATTCGAAGCTGTAGTGGAAAACTTCTTACAAGAATTGTTTGGCGAATGTGGCAACGACAGTGGTTTGATTTTTTTTTCTTCACTACTACTGCCTGTCGAATCGCCACGTGGTCTCCTTTTGTTAATGAAAACAATGGCTGAATTGGAGGGAGAAGCGCAAGCCGCATTATTTTTTTTTGGATAAATCCAGTGTCAGTGCTTGTTCGTGACCTGTCTGCAGATCCAAGTTTTTATTTTCCAGTAATCTCTGTCGGATTGCTGGTGATGTTATCCCACAAATGAAAGCATCTCTCACGGCTTCATCGCCGACTTGCTTAGATGTTCTGTCCTTGAAGTTGCAGTCTCGCCTTAATTTTTCGAGACTGGGAAAATCATCAATCGATTCATCTTGTCTTTGTTTCCGTGTGGCCAGTAGATGGCGGGAAAAGACTTCATTCGGTTTTTTTAATGTGTATTTAATCCAGCCGATTTAGTACCTATTCGATATATTCGCAAGATTCAATGAATTCGAAATCTGTAGGACTTACACAGCTTATCAATGGCCGTAGTCTGTTGGGAATTCTGTCTTTGTAGTCATCAAAATAGTTGGTGAATATAGTACGCCAGTGCCGCCATTTTCTGGCGGCGTGTGTCAATATTCTTGGTTTATAGCCAAACCTTATACAGACTCTGACATGGCGGTTATAAGACATATTGCTGAATAAATAAGTTTTGGAGTTAATTTTTTTTAAGTATTTTGAATTTGTTTTCTTTTTTTTCCTTTTTCTTTTCCTCACAATCTTAGTTCCCCGTTAACAGTTCTGATGAGAGGGGACGAAACCGGTCGACTGGTGTGTGTTTTGTTTTAAAGCTATCATGGCCTACAATATAAAATTTCTTGTTTTTAATGCCTTAATACGCTTTTGTACCGTTTAAACATATTTAATATATATATATATATATATATATATATATATATATATATATATATACACACACACACATATATTCATATACATACACATACATACACACATACATACATGAAAAATACATATACATATATATACAACGATAGCTAACACAAAAAAACTACACTAGTAACACATATATTCATATAAGCACCCTTATCCCAAATGCCTACACACACACACACACACACACACACACACACACACACACACATATATATATATATATATATATATATATATATATATATATATATATATATATAAATTCAAATATAAAAGTCTAATTTCATCTGATTTTTAGAGTACATACGAACAAGTACAGCATCTATGTGTTTATACAGTCATTTCAAAAACAAAAGTAATATTTTTCCTTTTTATATAGTTATTTCTAAATATATTTAGTTAAATTGTGGTGGCTTTTATGTGTGCATTTAAAAACCAACTCGTTATGTTTGTTCAGTAATATGTCCAGATATTTATGCCTTATTATTAGGATTTTCTCTTTTATGCACAAATTACATCGGTCTCTGAAGTTTATTGGAGTTCTAGCTCTCGAGACGATTCTCCATTTTACTTGTGGGGTTAAGTTGTTTTCCGAAAAATCCCAATAATGTTTAGATAGTGCAGTTTGATCTTTCTTGGATTTACTTGTGAAGAATTGGCGATGGTTATAAAACCGTTGCTTCCAATTTCCTGCCGATATTCCTATGTAGATCTTCTGTTTAATATCTTCTTTGGGGAAAATTGTAGCTTCCTATATTACGTTTTCTGACAAACATATTCCCTCTACTGGACAAACGGAACCTTCCCTGCAATTACAGGTCGATTTGTTCTTTTGGCTCGAATTAAGATCTTTTTGTAGTTGATTATTATGAAATTCATTTAAAATTTTGCTATTGTGGGAGCTAATATTTTTTTCTACATTGCTCATGCAGGAATAACTATTTTTTAAATTCATTTTGTGGAACATCTTTTTTAATAGTTCATTTTTACTAAAATTATTGTCCAATAGGTAAAGAAATTATTTCCTTACATTAATATTCGAAAGTTTACAGAAAGGCGAATTGAACCATATAATTGTTCTTTTTCAATTTTTGGACTTAAAGGATGTGTTCTTAATAGATATATCTATATAAGTTAGTGTTTGTTTGAATTTGCTTTTTAATAGGGCTTGATTGTATGTTGATTTATTTTGATAAAAGATATTTTTACTAGAAGATACTTTATTTATTCTAGTATTTACAGTATTAGGAATTAGGTATTAGGAATTGTTTTATAATTGCTTTAGGGTGGTTAGAGTCGATATTTATGTATATGGGCGATTTGTTTTCCTTTTGGAAGTATTTATTAATGTTATTGTCGATATCAAATGTTACGTCTAGAAAATTTACTATTTTCATGTTAGATGATATTTTGATTTTTAAATCCTAGAAATTTGAATGCCTTAATTATTTTCTTCTGAAGTTGGCATGTTAGAGGCCCATTAGAGTTAGGTATAACAATGAGTCCATCATCTCTGTAAAGCCCTACATTTTGGGGGTTAATGAATCTGCTCAGAATATCTAAAATGTATATACCTATTAGGTCTGCTATTTGAGCAGAATCAAATGTTCCCATTGGGACATCGAAATTGCCTTTGTTTTTTTTTAAATCAGGTTGTGTCATTAAGTCCCAGTACAGATTGTCTAGAATCCATTATGATTTTTATTTCCTTGTCAGTAATCTCAGTATAGTTTTTAGCAAAAATTAAACTATTTTCTAATAAATCTTTAGAAAGGGCGGGGTAGAAGTCGATAATGTCTAATTGGATAAAAGTGGCTTTATTTTTAGATTTTAAATTTTGGAACC